CTTCACCTTTTAGAGTTGGCACCTCGGTGTTCTTCAATTAGAAGCTTAGGCTTGATATATTCCCTTGAGGACCCATAAAGTTAACATATCTCCTTTCAGGACTCGTAAATTTATGTGTAATTATAAAATTATACATGTATTTTTATTTAACTTTTACTTATGTTCTTTTATAAATTTGTGACAATTTAGTTTGTTTTATTGTAGAGTTCCATGTTCTTTTTTAACATTTTATTTTACCACCATGATTTTATCACAATAATTTCGAGGTTTTTCTTATGTGAAGATTAAAAAAATCAATTACGTATTTTTTAGGCTTAAAATGCCGATGCCTCTTGTCCATCAAGCAATAACTACCTTGTATCTATGGATAAGATGTATAACAAACCTTAGTATATACAACAACATCCCAAATCAAAATTAACAATAATAAATTTGGTTGGTATAAACATTGTAACAACCATTTTAGAAATCGTAAGTACTTAATTTTGGATACTAATTTCTTATTTTCTTAAAGTTATTTTTCAAAATGAAAACAATTATAAAACAACTATATCACGCGGACAACAATTAAAGTAATCCGCAACAAGATGTAAGATTCACATGTTATTTCATCCTTAAGATGTTTTGGTGATTTTGGCTTAATGACTTGGATTTGAAAATAGTTGAGAAGTTTTACTTTTAACCTTTCTATGAAGTATAAGTATTTATCCTTTTTATCTATTCTCAAGAAACTCTTAGTATCATTGAGCTCCACTATGCATTGAGCTTCACTATGCCATTGCACTCAAGTATCCACTCACTACCTCAATGATTTTAAGTTGGTTCATGTGTTTTTCCCATGATGAACATATTTCAAATATAAATAGTGGGCTAATGTGCTCCTCCTATGACAAACGTTTTCTTCCTAAAACATACTTTTCCCATGATGTCTAATAAACACTCTTTTCGATAATTGATTCTAAGCAACCACTTTTACTTGGTATATATAGTAGATTGGACAATTCATCAAGGACAAAAACAAATTCAATAAACTCTTTATCTAAGATACTTTCTCCCAAACTCTTTTTAAGCTCCTATCTCTTTTACTCAGCTATTTTTTGCTAGAAATCGTATGATCAGATTAAACGTAACAAAATGAAACAAAAAAATTGTAAATGAATAACAAAAACATGTCACACATACCATGGATCTCTTTAATAGTTTTAATACAAACAAAACTAAAAGAGATGAATAATCAGAAAAAATAAAATCATTTTCACAAAATGATGTGGCTATTATAATGGTAACTTTTCCTTGTCCAACCCATGAACTCCACAAAGCGAGCGAAGAACCCCAGCCACTCAAATGCTTAGCCTCTAACGGTTTCACATGTGGTTGCACTAGAACTTTCACAAGAAGGGAGCTTTCTCAACTATGCCTTTGTGCTAGCAAGGTGACAACAACTTATCTTCCCCACACAATCGCACTCTTCCTATCCGAATCACAAAGTTGGAAAACTATTTTTCCAAGTCACTTAAGAAAATGTGCGGCCAGGCTTTTCTTGTTAATTTTTTGACAACTCAAAAAACCTAACTTGTGTGTTTCACTTATGTTATGAGGAATAGCTAAAAAGTGATATTTATATCTAAGTTAATTAACTTCTTAAATTGCAAATAAGACCTTAATATTATTACCCTTTATAATATTGGTCCAACACTTAATTAGACCTTTTTAATTAAGTCATTGTAAATTAAAATTAAATTAAATTTACTTTATTTGTTTACAATTGAGGCTTTAATTTTATAATTAATTATAATATTATCTTTATACTTAATTAAACTATTTTAATTAAGTTTTTAGAAGTTAAAAACCTAGTATATGATTTAAGTTCAACTTAAATTATCACACTCTCAATTTAATTTATAATACAATTTATTGTGTGTGACTCATTAGGTTCCCAATATATTGAAAATGAAATTGAATTATAATTTTTATTAAATTAATTAATTTAATATCATAAACCAAGATTGGCATTTAACAATACATCATAGCTACCTAATTGTTAGGAGAGTTAAAGAGTTCTTTGGCAATCTTTCAGTGTAAAAACTATCAATATAATTCATTCTCTCATCATTTATCTTGAAAATGATAAAAGCATGATGCAATGTCTACTCTTATTGATCTCCATATTCATTTTTGAAGTTAGATCATTAGCTTTATGGTGACTTATGAATCTTTTTTTCATAATCTCCAAATCACTTTGGTTGAGGACTTCAACAAGCAAATATCAACCAATAATTATTAGGATATGTCCCCTAAATCACTTGGGGTAATGATTTCTTTTTTTAACCACTCATTTGCCGTCACATGCTTTATATTACAATCAACCATATCTTATTTTGGCAACTTTGGTAGAATCCGTAGGGATATGATCAAATATATAACTATCCACATATAAGACAACCTAATGTCTCAAGTCTAAAAAGTATTTACATGATTGACACGATAAATATTTGTATAAACATTAGAATAAGATACTAAATATATTTCTCACGTCAGATTATGTTCAGTGAACTTGTTCACGGAACAAGCACCTATGTTCTAGTTTCAAATATCTTTATACTTCAACTATGAGATTGGTTGCTTACTTTCCAAGTAAGGAACACGAAGTGCACCAATTTCTAATCATCATTAATATCCAGTTTCAATGATATATCAACCAGGAATATTTAGAGATTATGTTTTGATGCATAGAGATCTCATTATTATAACCCATTACAATTCCCTTGC